GGCGCGCAGGTCCTAGAAGATGGGGGGGGATGGCTGTTTTCCCTGCCTTCTCCGCCCCCTTCACGTCACTTCCCCTCTGGGGTCCTAATGCTGCGAGCTCCTATGGAGCACCAGTTTTTAAGTTTTATGATTGTTGTTGTTGTTGTTACTGCCAGTCGCTCTAGTAGGAGCTGTGGGTGAGACCGGGACGACTCCGAACGGTCCCCGGCTCTCCCCAGCTTGCTTCGTGCCCAGCGACCCTAGATTTGTCCCAGTGAGAACTAGAACACGTCGCTTCCTATCTGAGCCTCGGTTTCTAGCTATCCGACGACTTCGTGATCTTTCCAGCAGCTCTTCGAGGCTGGCCTGTTGCTGGGAAGTTCAAATAGCATATTGGAGTGAAAGCTCATCGAGCAGACTGTGAAAAGCTCACGCATTAATTTTTCTGTAACGTCAGCCCTTTCATGCCCTGGTATTTATTTCTTTGCATTCTGAGCTCCCAGAAGGCAGGGACTTGTTTTATCTGGGCCCAGGAGCCCTCCTGAAAAGTAACGTTAAACCAGTTTCAGTGCAGATTTAGAGTCTGGGGCAGGGCAGGATTGGGGGAATTGGGGCACAATGGGGAGGGCTGTTGAAGCTAAGCGGAGCCCTTCTCAATTCCAGAATGAGAAGGCATTTAGAGAGGCAAGGATTAGTGTGGCAGGAGCCCCGAGCTCAACATCGGGCTGAGAGCTGGGAAGGGATTGACTGCATAAAGTCTGAGGCTATGGCTGGACATGCCCCGACCCTGACCCAGCCTACCCCCTTCTCAGTCTGTGTGTTGGGGAAGGAGCAGGCCCTGTGGGGATGGTGGACAGATTCATCCCTAGAGGTTGTGGGACACCCTTACCCCCAATAATCCGAAAAGAGGTGGGAGAATCTTCTTACCAGCTGGTGAGAGGTGGCCAGTGGAGGAGACAGTGAGGGTTTTCATGGACTAGCAGCTAAGAGGGCACAGAGGCTTGAGGAAGCTGGGGGGCGGGGGTGTTAGAGCATCGTTCCCCACCTATACCTGGGGGAAGACCAAGGTAGCACCACTGATCCAATAGACTGTCCTGTGCTGCCCAGGGGACATCTAGATTCACATGGAAGCACCCAGAGATTCCTGGGCTGATTTACTGAGAGGAATGCCTGGGCAGGGCAGTGCTGGAGGAACGGGACACACAGGCTACACTCCATCCTGGGAGCCTCATATTCTCAGCGCAAGGACTCTTTACGAAACAAAACAAAACAAAAAACCTCTTTAGTGCCTGACTCAGAGCTGATGCTCAATGAATGTTTGTGAAATGAATAATGACCCTTAATTGATTAATAAGTGTAAGTTCGGAATTACCACCAGTGCTCTTGGCATTGGGCTACTCCCGTTACTCTGGGATGCTAGCCCTGCTCACTTCTGTCCAGTCTGTACAAGACTGCACATCAGGCCAGCACCCCGCCTTCCTGGGTTCCTAGGCCTCTGGCCCTGACCTCTCACAGTGCCCTGACCTCTCACAGTGCCTGGGCCAGGGTGAGGAGACAGAGAAGGAGCCTTGCCCCATGCCTAGCTGTGGGTCAGGGAGACAGAGGTGGGACAGTGTCCTCCCCAACCCCCAGCCCCACTCTGCAATTCCCAGGGTCTGGCCCTCAGGAATCCCTCTTCCTCAGGCAGCCCTCCCAGATTTCTGCCTCCTCTAAATCTGCCAAATTCCCTCCTCCAAGGAGACATGAATTGAAACAGTTTTCATCTGCTTGTGTCATTTAAGTCCTTTAATTGTCCTCAGTTTTCTGCACCCCAAATGTCCCAGTGCCTGGGGTCAGAGGACCTTACCCACTGGTAGACAGAGGCCCCGTCTGGCCAGTGCACCAGTCACCACCCTCAAGGGGCTCCGAGTCTGACGGGCGAGACGCAGCCTTTCCTTCCCCTCAGAAAGGCCTCAGTCTGAGCGGGGGCAGAGCCGGGCCCCCAGGAGGAGGCGGGTCGCCCACAAACCCTCCAGGGCTGGAGCCGGGATGCGGAGGGCGGGTCCTGAGCCACCGGCCCAGGCAGGATGCGCAGCGAGCGTCCCCTCCTCTGCGGAGCGGCTCCCGCGGGGATCGGGACCCGCAGGGCGGGCGTGAGCCCCGCGGCCGGCCCGGGGCTGCGGAGCCTGCGGGGCGGACGGTCT